TTTTGTATTGCAGAGCTTAAATTACAAACAGAATCTTGATGCTTCTTCCAACTCAAAATTACATTTACTTAAAAGTTCAATAATTAAGAGAAAATTCCCACAGGAGGCCTTTGGCTGTTCCTCCCACATGAACCCTAAAAGCCAAGTTTGAAATAGCAAGAACAAACATTGCATTAATAACACGGTTCACTGTTTGATGACGGTAATTAACTTCCAGCTTCACTTTAATTTCCAGAGCTTCATCCAGTAGCATAACTAGGGAGGACCAAGCGGGTCAGAGCTTCATCCAGTAGCATAACTAGGGAGGACCAAGCGGGTCAGAGCTTCATCCAGTAGCATAACTAGGGAGGACCAAGTGGGTCAGAGCTTCATCCAGTAGCATAACTAGGGAGGACCAAGCGGGTCAGCTTTCCCGACCACAACCCACAAGGAAACTTAGAGCTCCAGCTATTTTAACAAATATTTAAGAATTAAATCTGATAATATGATTTGGGAAAAAATCCCATATATTTTTATTATTATTAACATGTACTGCAATTTCTTCAGCAAAAACGTGGTACCTATGGATCCTTCACCTATTTTAATGAGAGACACGCGCTCATTGTTACTCTACATTAAGGTATTTATTTCTATACGTTTTTGATTAATGGTAGGCGTAGGCTGGTAATAGCGGAAATTTAGTACATGGTTATTCTCGAGTGTCAATGTAAAATAAACGATATCTGTGAGAGGTTGTAACATCAGATGTTCACATGCTTTAAGTCCTCATATAACAACACGTAAAATGTTTTTGTAATGGATTATGTTTGTTTGTTTGTTTGTAATTAAGCACAAAGCTACACAATGGGCTATCTGTGCTCTATCTACCACTGGTATCGAAACCCGGATTCTAGCGTTGTAAGTCTGCAGACATACTGCTGTGCCACTGGGGGGCAGTAATGGATTAATCACACTACTTATCAGAGTAAAGTTTTGTATTAACGCTTTATATCTTCATATTCATTGTAGGGGTAGTGTAGGGTTTAAGAATCTCAGCCCTCAAACAAGGCTATAAAACATCCATTGGAACAAAGAGTCAGCAGTACCTAATTGGTTTAGCTATTTAGTCTACTGAATATCCAATTGCAAGTACCATTGATTATAATGATATAATCGAAAAATTTGCAGCTACTAAAGTCAGTAAAGTACACGTGTAAATATCTGTACAAAAATAATTTGAGCTGGAAGTTTGGGTATTTTTATTTAGTTTTATTTTAATTTAATTAAGAATAAATCTGTTTGTTTAGCCTTCAGGTTGTATCCTGGAACATAAGTACCACATAAAGAATGAGAGATGTACAAATACAACTAAAATTACAGGGTATTTTTTGTTTCATGATTATATAAAGTGGGGAAAAGGGGGGAGAACAATTCGTCAAACTTGCCCAGGCACAAACACCTATTTACACCATTGGCTTCATCTAATGTTCCTTGTGCCTTCCATAGTTAATACGCTATACATGATTCAACTGTGATACGCTGACAGCTCACATCTTTCTATATTTCAAGTTCAAGTGCTTCCAATTTGGAAGCAAGAAACTTACCCACACTTCGGCATAGTTCACTTTCTTCTTGTTTCCGAAAAGCCAACAGAGCCCATAGTAACATCTATTTACAGTCGGTGAGAAATTCAACCAGACTATCGTAACTTTACACCATCTTTAGACATTTTCTCATAAACCCAAGAATTAAAACTTCTGATTGCTGGGTTCATCACTCTATCTCTACCATATGGAAATGGATCCGATAGTTGGTATGAGCCCTGACTTAGAAAAATAAGACGTTTTTGGTCTGCACTTGAAATCTCCGGGAAAATTAGCTTTTTCGTATGGGTACTTGTATTAACTAAATTATATGACAGTTATATTAGTTTGATAGATTTTCTAGTCTTTTAAACTCACCATATAGTAACTTAATTTACGTGTGTAAATAATATTATGGCATTGCATCTAATTTATTATTCGATATTATACAGGAGACCAACTGTTTAATGATTATCTTACAGATTTATTTTCTTCTCACCAAAGAACTCAAAACCCCATAAATATTTTATAAAAATCAATATTATAACTGTAAATGTTTGGTTTGCTGATGAAATTTGAATAGGCAAAACTGACATTCCACCAACAGAGGGTGCGGCGAATCAAAGAATGCATTAGGCCACTGCGTCACAGATTATATTGTTACGTATCTGCTTGTTTGTTTGTTTTCGGTAGAAATTCTTTCCGAGGATCTTCAGCGATACAAGTCCTTTCTTGATTAAACCAGTTTATTCTTCCTCGATACAAACTTTTAGTACATAGAAAGTTCCACAATCAGTACGTTTCTCGTCACTTTAAACTTAACAACTTTTATAATGCAAGCTATAAATCACAGCGATTCCCAATCTCGATGACTTCGCTCTCGACGAGTGTAAGACACACACTTTACAGCTCACTAGCTCGAAACTAACAGAATCATAAATTACACGGAACTCAAAGTAACTACTGCTTTCTCTTCATTCATCGTCTCGACGCCCTGGCTTTCCTCTGTCAGGCTTATGTACTAACGAAGAGGGCATCTCCAAAATACTCGGACTTCCCGATCATTCGAGAAACTCATCACGCGCGTCACCAGCGTCACGTGACATCCGCTGTTGTAACAATATTTTGAATTTTGCCTTTGGTGAAAAGAAAATACATCTATATAAATATAACAGTACCCGTGTGCTATATGTCCATGTAACTACTTCGCAGGGTGTAGATGAATCTTTACCAAAATTGGCATGGAGGTTCATTAGGTCCATGCGAGGGTACATACAAATTTTCCATTTTGCGTTTTCCAGTTTTTATGGGCGTTTTTTACAATTGCATATGAGGGAAGCAACTTTTCATGTCCTAAGATAACCTTTCATTAATCATGAATTTACTTAACTTCTGTTCAGGGGAAGGGTACTCCAACTAGTCTGTAATATAGTTATATTAGTATCATCAACTTGGCTTAATCTCCTGAGTATTCAGTTCTGTCCTAAGCCTATCACTGTGAATACTGTCATAATTTATAACTAATGTAAATGTACTGTGACCAACGTCATAGACTTTTTAAATTTCTAATTCTCTTAGTTTTCGTCTTTAAAATCACATTTAGGCCTTTTCTCAACGATTTCTATGTTAGGCATACATCACTGTTACAGCCACCAGAAGAATTAGGTCTAAGCCCGTTTTTAGTATCGTCCATTTAATAAACACTTTTGAAAAACGAATTAATTTTCGGTAAAATGTGGCATCATTACTTAAATTAAATACCAATATTTCACAAGTATTAACAAACAACCCAAAAATTACACGAAACACTGAGAACAAAATATATAACCTCTCTTCGCTTCGCCACCTTTCCTTTTAGCTTAGAAAAACATGTTTTTGTGGTACGCCGTGCACGTTCCGCCAATGTTGCCAACTGTTTTTGAGCAAATATTTCCAATCGCCACCATTTTGAGAACTTTTTTTAAAGAATCTTTTATTGTTAACTAAAAACAAACTTTTTACATTTTTATTATTTGAGTACTTTTTAAGCTTTTGATTCTTTAAATCTTTAATGTTTACGGATTTTATTTAGTAATTCTATTACAGCTAACTTTTGCATTATCATTGAGGGTCCCCTTAAGTCTTTGAGCTCTGGGTGCTTGAAATATTGTTTTAACCAGTCTTTTATGAGACATCAAGTTATATTTTTCAAAAATAATTTATATTTTTAATTATGTTCAGTTTGATTGAGGAAATTTAGTATTGTTGTTGTTTTTAGTTTTAGTTAAATTTCTGTGGTGTGTAAAGGCAAATTAAGACATTAACGTCAAGAATGTTTATTTCGTTTTTGTTTTAGTGCAAAGCTACACAATGGGCTATATTTGATGTCTAATGGGAGATATGGAATTAGTGGCTCGCGCAATCATAACTACAACTATAGGGAAATAAATGTAGGGCCTAATTACTTTATATTTGGGAGGGGGATATATTTTATATTTACGCCACTGGATGGAACCCCGCATTTTAGTGTTGTAAATCATTAATTTACTGCTGTCCTAACGGAAGACTTAAGGTCTGAAAAACGGCAAAATGGAACAACACTGAGCCCAATTTTTGTTGGGTAAAATGTCTTAAAGGGGAATATTATTAAATAAAATAATAAGATTAAATTTCATTGAATTTTGTTACATTATAGTTGATTTTGCTATGTTAAAAGAGATAAAAAGCATATACTTTATTTAGTTAAGCCTCTACAGCTTTTGTTCTCAATTGCTGTAGATATATATATATATATATATATTAATATCGTTAATGTACTGTAATTCTAATTCGTTCCAATTTATTTTGAATACAATAATTAACTTGGATTAATTTGCTTAGTTTTTGCAATTATTCAGGTTCTTATGCTGTGCACGCCATTTACAAGACATACAATTGTTATTGTATCAAATGGCTTATATAAATAGTTATCCGACCACTGCTGTGTTTGTTGTATTCCACTGGCCTAAAGAGCTCTGGATTGAGCTAAACGCCTCGTTGGCAATTGATATGAGAAACATTGTGTGGTTGGAATACTATTATCGTACACTCTTTTAAT